CACCCACCGCCAACTCTTGGGCTACTCTTTTACCAACGAATAGTGGGATTGACCGTCACATTATAACGCCCCCACGGCTGAAAGGGCGAGCATGTTCGGTGTGACGGGGATTCGAACCCGCGACCTGGCCATGCCGGGCCTCTAGAAAGCTAACCTGGTAGTAACTAATTGATGTTTGCTTAAGAAATTCGATATTAATTTTGGTTAAAAAACAGAATCGTAACAATTCTGTAAAAGCCAAAAAGCATAACATATTGTCAAAAAGATTAATGTTTTTAACTTTTTTGATATATTACATGACATGTAAGTCTAGAGTTGTGTAAAATGTTTAATCTTATCCTGAAGAGTGGAGATTTTCCTGAACAATAGATAGTTTCCTGAATTTGACGGATTTATTATTATATATTTATTTTAATATCAACGTTTGTTTAGATTAAGTTTATATTTAAAAATATGCATAGCTTATAGTGTTAAATATCTATTGCGAAACTCCCGCCTATCCTCCAAAGTTGTAGAAGATTCTTGAGAGTTAGAATCAAAAGTATATTTGTGTACGTAAACGCTTTAATTTGCATTGTTACGTTATCTGAATTTTCTAGAAAATCTTCCCACGCCTATAAATATAACCAGCGTGACACGACACGCCAAAAGGAAGAGTGTCTATTTGTAGTTCGCTATAATCAGTGTGCTATAAACTTCGAAAGCTATAACAGTGATTTTTATAACGCTTATCAACGGAAAACTTAAGATAATTGACCAGGAATATTTATAAATTTCGAACGTTACAAATCGTTTAACTTCAGTGGATTCTCATCGGAAATTAATATTTTTACGAAACCACTAAATAAATTAATCGTGGAAAACTCGACGTGTGTGGCCGATAAAAAACTGACAAAGCTAGCTAACTTCCCGTTAGTCGAATCGTACCTACAACAACTTGGAATTCACTCGCTCATCGCTCATTTTAAACCCCGATAAGATATCAAGGAAGTTCCAGAATAGAAAGAAGACTTTATATTGTTTGTAAGTTTGTGAAACTTTTGTTTATAAATCATTGTTAGTGATAACTATTTGTAATAATTGTTATTATAAATTGTATTGTTGTGTGTGTA